GTTCAGAGAGTTTGGAAAACATGCTCCAGGAAGATGGACTGCAGGTGTTGGGTTTGTGCTCCGGGACAGAAACAGCTGAAGGCAGGAGGATGTGTAACATTCATCCAGCATGGAAGAGGCAGTTATAAAGATGATGGTGATCAATTGGTAGATGGTTGGATAGGATGTAATGGGTTTAAAGTACAGCCAGGAGGTCATGGGTTAGATATCTGGGGAAGGCTTCCTAAGAGTAAGGTTGGCCATGAAATGGTGCAGGCTGTAAAGGGTGCATGGGAGCCCTGTCCCTGGATGGCTTCAAGATCCTAAAGAGCCTACCGGGGTCTAAGACTGGGGGAGAAGTTGGTGATGGGAATGGCTTTGCCATGAGAAATTGGAGATGACTTTGCCATGAACAAGTTGCCCATGGTAACATCTGAGAAGGGTCTGCACCACCCATCCCACTGATGTGCCTGTGGTGATTCTGTGACTGATCGTGCAGAAACCTTTAGGGCCAGGGCACCCTGCCCCAACAGCAGGGCCGAGGGCTGATGGGGTGCTCACATGTGGCTCACGCAGAGGGAGTGACCTGGGGGCACCCCGAGCTCCGGGCAGGGTGGCATGGCCGCTGGTGGGACGTGCCCACCAGGAAGCTCCTCCATCCACATGGGGCTCACCCATGCCTGTGCTTGCAATAAAACAAATCAGAAGCCAAAACCATCCAGCCAGGTGTCTCCAGGGATGCTTTGCTGTTACATCCCTGTGGCTTCACTGAGCTGATTTTCAGCAGTTTGGTGGCTGGCTGCAGCCTGGTGCTCTCCTCCAAATCAATCCCTCTCAGTTGCATTTTTGATCATAATTAATGTTTGCTGTGTAATTACATTGATTTTTAATGTACTCTGAGAGATGAGGGGAATTCAGAGCCTGGATGCGTCAGCTGAGCCAAAGGGGAGAGCGGCAGGGGCTGCGGCAGGGATGTGCAAGGCGGGGGGAGCTGCTTAAATACCCTGGGTTACCCAGGGCTTTGCAGAGCTGCACAGACACAGGGCTGCACGTGGAAATGGTTGAGCTGCTGCTCCTTTTTTTTTTTTTTTCCCTGGTCAAAACCGCTCCCCTGGCTGGAGGTGCTGTAAGGAGGCAGCCTGTGGTGGGAGCCTCGGCACACAGCGCTGCCAAAATCCTGAGGATTTAGGTAGCAACACCAGCAACAAGCTTAGGGATCCTGTTACTCTCCCTGGGGGTGCTGGGGCTCTAGGTGTTGTGGTGAAGGAGGTGGGTGTCCAGGGAGGTCTGGGGTGTGAACATCACCAGCAAAGAAGAAGGAGAAGCCAAATCCCTGGGCTGGGGAGGCATCCGGCACTCCACACACCTACCGGCAGGAATTGGGGCCAAAGAGACAGTGCAAACTCATCATCTGCACATCTCTGAGCTTTCCCCTTGTTAGAAAGGATGTCGCTCAGATTTTTTTTTAACGGTGTCTCGTTTTGCATCGCCTGTTAATTACGTGCCCTCTGAGGATCGCTCCTGCCTGAGCAGTTCAACGGAGGCCACACAGCACCAGCTCGGCGTTGCCCAGACGGGAACGCTGTGACAATCGCTGCTGAAAAGCAGCCTTGTCTCACACAGGTGTTATTAAGCAGCCGCAGATGTTATACATTTTTTTCAATTAAAACCCAGAAATTAAAAAATAAATAATAATAATAACGAGGCAAGCGCTGCACTCGGCAGAGACAAAGGAGCCAAGCCGCCAGCAGCATTGTGTGCTGGGCTCGAATCGCCACGCCGGGGGGGTGAAAACGCTCAGCTGGCCGAACAATGCGGCGGGCGAACATCTGCGGGGACTTTGTGTGAGAGCGCTGGTGCGCAAAACGTTGGAGTTGTGCATCGGCCAGGGGCCGCGGGCCCCGCTGCTCCCCCCTTCTTGCGGAGGTAGGACCGGGCGTGGAGCTGCGGGCGCTGGCGGCCGCTCCTCGCATTTGGGTGGACGTCGCGGGAATTGGAAATGAGCCCTCTGAGTAGTGCTGCCAGCCCGTTGGTATAACAAGTTGTCTTTGGAGCTGGAGAGGTGCGGTGCACGGAGGTGGCTCTCCGTTCTGTGTGGCGTGCGTGCCCTAAATGCAATTATTTGGCTCCTACCATGTCTGATATTATTATTGTTCTTGCTATCTTCGGTACTTTTATGGCCCCATCACCATAGTAACTGAGCATCTCGAAACCCTGTAAGGAGGGAATAATATTATTCCCAGTGTAGAGTTGGGGGAAGCGAGCAACAGCGAGGCGCAGAGCTGGGGCCATAGGAGGGCTTGGACAGGCCTGACCACAACCAGGCACTTGGGGACTGTTCTCCAGCTCCTTCCAATGTTAAGCAACCACCCGAACTTTTCCTGGGCACCCCCAGGCCATGTTTCCATTCAATTTTCTTCCTCCCCTCTTGCATTAGCTAGGTAACAACCTCCCAGGTGGAGCTGCTCCCTCCATGGCTCCCCTTTGCTGTCCCTTGCCACCATCCAACGGGCACCCTTGGAGGTGGGGTGGGCATGGGAAGCATTGCTTTGCTTTGCTGATGACCTTCCACTTTGCAGAGGCTATTTGAATGCATCTCAGGCCAGCCCCTGCTCCAATGCATCTTTAAAAGCAGTGTCAGAGAGAGACATGTCAGATTTTCTTCATCCCTGACATATTCCAGACTAATTTCCACCCTGGGGGTTTAGCTGCTTTTCCTGAGAGACAGCTGATAGCGACTCAGAAGGAAGGGCTTGAACCAAGGTCTTCTGCAGCACGGGCAAATGATTCAACAGGTAGGGAAGGGAGGCCAGCGTGGTGGCCAGACCCCTGAGATGGAAGCCCACCGGCCTGCTGGGGTTGCTCCCTGCCCGCTCTTCCCGCGCAGCCGTCCCGGCTCGCGGCGTTGCCATCACGTTCCCCGACACGCCAGCTCCTCGCTGCCTTTCCTGCCTCAGGTCATTCTGGAATAAAACAATCTTCAATTATTCCCTTCTGTTTTTTTCCCTTTTGTGCAATATATCATTTTTTAATTAAAAAAATGCCTCGTGGAAGTGTAACGGGCTATTAAATGTTTTGGTCCATAATTAACATCAAACCCCTGACTTAAAATCTTTATGGATTGAATGAGCTCCATTAGCTGCTACATGAGTAACACAGCACAGTGCTCCGAGGCTCACTGGGTTCAGATCACCCCATTTCCCCTAGAAACTAGCTGAGGAAAAGGTCCTCACTGGGGACTCGCTGCTCTAGTCCCCGCAGCCACCACCATGGGGATAAACCCCCCCTGCACACAGCTTTTTCCCCCCAGGAAAGGAGCCTGGAGCTGTGGGGAGGGCAGGATGCAATGCTTGAGGGGAGGTCTCTGTTCCTGCAGCACAAACCCCATGGGCACCACGTTTTGGCTCAGGCTGGAGCCTGTCCAGGTGTAGGGCACCCAACACGTAGGTTTGGGGCTGCCCACGTCCTCCATGGGTTGTCATTGATGCGTGTCACCGACACATGCTCGCTGCCTTCTGCAGAGGACTTGGTGGTGGAAGAGGTTTGAGTCACCTAGCAATTCTCAGCTTCTGCTCCAGCAAATTAATTCTGTTTCATACCCCTTTGTGCAGCCTTCCAGTGCTGGCTCTCACGGCAGGGACACATCTGCCGGGGCTGCTGGCAGAGTTCGAGTGTTCCCACCTATACTTTAAGGTGGAAATAACACTGGAGCTGCTGGACTGGCCTTTGACACTGCTGGATTATGGATGACCAGCTCTTGTTTGGGCTGATGAATGGAGCTGCCACCTTGCCAATTTATGGCATTATTCCTTCTGGGCATCTCCAGTGGCATGTTCGTTATGGCCGTCAGACACAAATTGACTCACTGCTGTATTCTTGGCTTTCTGAACAAAGCTGGACTTAGGAGATACGGGTGTTCTCATTAGGGTTTCACTGTGTACTTTGCTATTAGCCCGCTCTTGTTATGCAGCTCTGAACTGTCTTTCAGGCTCTGCTTGTATGTGGAATGAGCTGTCAGTCCAAAAAGCCTTGGCTGTGCCTCATAGCCTGGCCACTGCTCAAATGCCTTATAACAGGGATCAGAAGCAGGCCCTCCCTGAGGTACAAGATGGTCAACGTCCAGTGCTCTTCTAGTTTTCTCTTGATCCTACAATTAATTTTTCCTTTAAGTAAAGGAAGCTTGGTCCACCTGGGACAGGATCCCGCTGGGCTCTGCAGTGCCACACTGGCACAGTGGCTGGCCATCCTCGGTGACCCCTCTTCTCCTTCCAGCCCAGGAGAGCCCAAGGATGAAGGCCAGGCTCTAGCACTGCAGAGGAGACCTCATCTCCCCTGTGAGGGCAGCCTGGGACAGCACCGCCCTGCAAACACGAACAAGAGCGACTTGCTGCCATCATGCCCAGGAGCCACAGGCACAACTAGGGCAATCGGCAACCTGGGAAAAGAAAAGCTGAAGCAAGCTCGGCACCAGGGGCTACGTTAAAATTAGTCCAAGCCCCAGTGCGCTCCCATTGTGGTGTGGGAGGAAGCTGGGAGCATCTCACCCCAGGCAGGGCTCACCTGTCCCACAGCATCCCGGGTAGAACCAGGGGGCTGATTTAATAAGCTGGGTATTAATTGCATCCCAAAGCCCCCTCCTTGAGGCTGATGCTGGGCACTGAGGCTGAAAATAAATCACTTTACAGGGTTTTCATCTTTTCGCTGTTGTTGTTTTTATTTCTTATTTTTCTTCATTCTTTTGATTCTCATCTCAGATGTACTAAACTTTAAGTGAGCAGAAGTTGGGATACACAGCAGGGGGGAAGCAAGCAGAGAGTCTTCTGCTCTCCTCCACCTCACCAGCCTCTCTTCCCAGCTCTGAAGGTCAGCATCAAGGTTTGCTTCACATAGCTGAGAGCCTGCAGAGAAAACAAAGGCAGGTGAGGGTCCAGCTCCTCTGCTTCCATCCCTGCCCAGGGGTGGCATAAACTCACAGAGGCACCGCTTCAATCAGGAGAGCTTCTGCTGAGTCAGCTCCTTTGGAAACTTGGCCTTTCTGAGAGACTGCAGCTCTCAGAAACCCCGGCCAAGATTTTATGGGTAAATATAAAATGAATTAGGAGGCAGGTTTTAAAATAAAGGATTGCTTTTGGAATCCGGGGGGTAATAATAATTTCTCCCCAGAACACAGCATCTCTCAGTCTTCAGCCAGTGGTGCGCACTCAGCACCGCAGAGCTGCCGCTGGAAGCAGCTCGAGCAGCGCTGCTCCCAGACACGTGGCTGCCTGGTTTTTCTTTCTTCTTGCCTCTCCGGTGGCAAGAATCCTCTGAGCCGATTCAAAAACATCTCAGGGCAAGTCTGTCTGCTCAGAAAGCTGTGGTTCAACTCCACCTAATTGTTTGGAGGGGAGAGCTCAATCGCATTGATGTTTTGAGCACGGAGGTTATCAAGCAGGTGCTGTTTGGATGGTGTTATTTTGGCTTGTCTGTGTGGTGTGGCTGGGTGCTCGGCTCTGTCTTGCAACAGGGTGACTGAAATAGAAGGAGGGGAAAAAATCCATTTTGAAACATTTCTTTACTGCAAGGAAATAACCCAAAATGTTGACTTGTGCCCCCACAAAAATCAATTGTTGCTGTCTTGGAAGTTCTTACAAGCAGAGGTGGCTGGGATTCACCCACCCAGTGGTAGCAATTGCTGCAGAACGACCTCACTTTGGGCCACCCAGTAGCACCAAACCTCCTGTTTATCTCACCATAGGACATGCAGAGGATGCAGTCCTGCCCCAGCACATCGGCCTCTCCCCATGGTGATCCCAAGAGGTGTTTGCCAACCTGTCCCAAACCTGTGGGTGACAGCCCCCCTCTAGCTCCCAGGTGAACCACTGCCATGCTCTGCCAAGCCTTGGCCTCGCCGCTTTTGTCCCGGTGTCTAACCTGATTTCTCTCGCTGTAATTTAAGCCGATTATTTCTTGTCCTGTCCACCATGGACATAAAGAACAGATTATTCTCTTCCTCTTGGCAGCCGCCTTTTAAGCACTTGAAGACTGTTATCACATCTCTTCTTCCATCATCTCTTTTAGGCTAAATAACCCAGTTCTTTCAATCTTTCTTTGTAGGTCATGTCTCCTAGACCTCTGATCATTCTCAGTGTTTCCCCCGTGCTGTCTGCAGCAGCGCTGCCTCCCTTTTGATATGAGTTCAGACCCTGCTCCAGCACAGACCTCACCAGCTCTGAACGGGACAGAAAGATGATGTAGAGAGCCTTGTAGGCTGCGCTGCTGCTCGCACACCCCAGGCGCTGTCTGCCTCTTGATGTGACACTGATAACTCACACCCAGCCCTAACCCGATATAATTCCTAGACCTTTTTCTGAGGCTTTGCCACCAATCACCAGCAGGCCTGGTGGCTCCCATGGGGTTTGGAGGTGAACTGAAAATGGCAGCAGTGAAGTGTCCTGAGTGTAGGTTGTGTCTTGTCAGTCTCCTCCCAGTCCTCATTTTGGTGGGTTCATGTACTCGAAGTACACCCTTGGTCAGGCTTTTGACAAGGCTGTGTGATACATGGGTTGGATGCCATTTGGTCTGTGCTGAAGAGGGCTTTTCAATGATCCTTTAAGTTGCTGGCTCCCATTGCCTCTTAAGTTTTTAGTGTTTTATCTCTTTCATGCACATCATTTCACAGTCTAAGACACATTTGTGTTTAACACTGGATAATCATCATTTCATGGAAAAAAAAAAAAAAAGGAAAGGAAAGGAAAAAAAGACGAGAATTAGTAATTTTCTGCAGTCCGCAGGGTACTGAAAAGCAGACCAGCATGGCCTGGCCCCACCCCTAGGAGCTAGGCATTTTTCCATGCCTAGATTTTTTTCTGTTAAAAACTGGAGGTTTCTGTCCAGAAGGACTTACTGGTGGAAAGCTGAAGGCTGGCTCCTGGGGCTCAGATCTAAAGGGACTTGATGCATCCTGGGGGAAGCACTTCCACCACCCCGCCGTGGAGTAAGCCTCTTGCTCCCAATGAACATTTGTCATTTACTCGAAGTGGAGAAGCCCCAGCCCCAGAGGTGCTGCTGCTCAGGGAGATCCAGGGAGGGGGCAAAGGAAACCCCCATGCTCCAGGTGAGCCTCTGAGCCTGGACCAGAGCTGACCACTCTGCCTTTCCTCCTGCCTCTCCTCCTCCCCAGGGGCTACCCCAGCACCAGCCTTGTTCTCGTGCCTGCAGCAGCTCTGGAAATCCCAGCCATGGGCAAGGTCTCAAGGGGAACAAAATGCAGGTCACTGCTGGGACAGACTCTGCAGGCGAGGCAGCGCACACAAAAGTACTCGGGCTCTGATAGTAATTAATGTGGACATTGCTGGTAATGGCAGAGCTGGTGCTTTAAGTGCACAGAGGCAGGAAATGAACCCCCATCAATTTTTAAGATGTTGGCTGTTTCCTGTAGAGACAGGAGCTGCTGGACCTCGGTATTCCTTAGGCAGCCCCTGCCCACAGCCAGCAGCCGGCAGAGGGGTGAATCGCTGTCCTCCTGCTCTGTGGGATGGACCTGCCCCATTGTCTGCAGGAGAGAGCCTTGGAAAACTCCAAATTCACCTTTAGAGCATGTACTAGCAATGCTCTGGGTAACAGTGGGGCCTTCAGCCACTCAATCAGGTGTGCGTGCATGAGGATAGATGAGGCTTGCTCTGCTGCTGCTTGCAGTTACTCAATAGATGCTTGCAACGGGTCCCAGCTTGGCAAAACATGCTCAACTGTGTGTGAGATCATTTCCACACCAAACCCTTCCCACGCAGAGGAGGAATTCCTTTTTGGCTGGGACCTGAGGGGGATCCCCATTGTTTGGGAAACTGCCCTGTTCCCACTGAGACCCAGGAGTCTTTTGTCCCCGGTTCCCACGGGGTCAGGACAGAGACTGTCGCAGAGCGGGTGTTTTTATGAACTGTCTGCTCTCTCCCTTTGCAGTTCTAATTACACTGTATATTTTGGAAATAAAAATGTCCTTTTCGATAATATCAGGCAGGAAGGCTCTCCAGCATTTCCAAGTGCAGAGAGGGGGAGAGACGAGTGATCAAAGGCAGGCTGTAATGAGCTGTGAGAGGCAAGCCCAAGGTCGCTGGGGGCAGAGGGGCCATCAGGATGCTCAGCCAGCTCCCAGCTCCTGCACCTTCCCCCATCCTCATCATTTGGGAATGCACACCCCAAACACACAGTGCTGGAGAGACAGCTGTCCCACGGGCACCATGGTTTAAATGTACACAACAGAGGGCAGAAATGTTTGTGTTACTTTACGGATGGGACAGGCGCTCACCACAGCCAAATCCCAAGGGGAAGGCATCCAGTTGCTGTCAAAGAGCTGGAAGCAGTGCAGGAGCCATCAGCTGGGAGAGGCACGGTCTTTGCAGCAAGCAGAGATCTAGGGCACTGATAAGTGTAAATCTAGGGCAGAGATCTAGATAATCAAGGAACAGAGAGCCAGGATGTGGGCAAAGAGCTGAGATGTAGGGCATGGAGGAGCAGAGATGATGGCAGTCGAGGAGCCACGATGTAGGTTAAGCAAGAAGCAGAACTCGAGGGCATAGAGGAGCAGAGGGCTAGGTGACCAAGGAGCTAGGATCTAGGGCATCAAGAAGGGCTGTTTTAGGGCATAGAAGAGCAGAGATCTGGGGCACTGAGGAGCAGGACATTATCTGACAGGCATGCTGCCAGCACCACTCCCAGCTTCACAGCCTGATGCCAAGAGTTGCGCAGGAAGGTGGAGGTGGGAGTGATGCCCAGCCCCATGCTGGGAGCAGCCCTGCCCAACCTTTCACAGCCCAGGGGAGAAGAGGACAAATCTCCATGAGAAACCCCACAGCATGCAGTGAGCTCATGGGTTGCTCACGACAGCTGAGCCACGACTGGAAGCACAGGATGCTCCAAAGGGGACCACGAAGTCACTTCAGCCCATGGGAAGGAGCCTGCCTCCACATCACCAGCAGCAGTAAACACGATCCATCTGAAAAATAGAGTCACGTTAACAGTTATTGATCTATAACTTTTAACCAATTTCTTTTTTACAATATTGGATTGAGTCCTAATTTTAGCTTTTTATGTTCAGCACTAGGCAAACTCCATTCCATCAGCAAAAAACAGCCCCTATGGGCCAATCTGCATCTTCCATTGAGCTGAATGATATAGGGCTGGAACAATATTTTTCGACAGATCAGTTCCTGTTCAGGGTAGCAGTGGCCATTATGCAAATCAAGCTATAAGTTTAAAAGTCTGGAACCATCATATTTCTTTATTTCATTAACATCAATGCGAGCGGGAGAGTTAATACGACAGAATGAGCCCATTCCAGGGCTTACACAAAACGCTGCCCCTATCAGTTAACAAGATTGGTGATTTCCCCTCATGGGTGCTCCCAGCAGCTGCGCTGGGGGCACCGAGGCTTTCCTGGCAGCACAGCTGAGCGTGGGGTGGGTGACAAATGTCTCCGGGCAGATCTGTGAGCAGGAATCCTCTGCCGGAGCTGGCAGATGGCTGGGAAGGCCCCGCTCGGTACAGCAGGGGGGAGCCAGGATGCTGGGGGACACGCAAGGCATCAATTGCAAGGGCCCTGTTTCCCCCTGGGGATTTTGCTTTTTGCTCCCAAGAGAAGCTGCATAAAATCTCATACATGGTGTCTTCAGCCCCTAATTCAATACATTGGCCAGGAGAAGTTGTTTGGGCAGAGATGTGTTGAACGCAGACTGGATTGAGATTTACAGCAGGCATGGAGCACAGAGAGAGAGGTGGTAACCTCAGCTCCCCCCTGGTGCTGGATGCACACATTCTCCCAGCACAGCAGTGATATAAGGAGCTGAGGTCTGATACAACACAGGCATTGATGTTACCAAGTGCAGAGACCTGTGCTCCAGCACATGCCATGATGCCCCAGCAGTGACCATCCCTCCTCCTTCTCCATCACATCAGTGTTGTGTCAGCACCACAAGCATAAACCTTCACAGTCCTGTGCATCCCTCACCTCCACTCCAACAAGGCACATCCAGTCACTAAAACAGCAATTCAGAAAGATGCACACCCCTCTTTGTGGCCCCTTTCAGCTGAGGGTGTTAGCAGCCAGCTCCTCTTTACACATTAGGAAGATAAGGTACAGCACAAGGAAATTATGGGATCCGGAGGCTCAGCCCTTGCATTCATGCCTTAGGGAAGGGAGGTGGTGATACCTGGCTAGCCAAAAAAAGTCAACCCAATCTATGTGGTCCAGCAAGCCTGCAAAAAGCTGCCTCCCTTTACCCAGGCATACACCCTTTTCCAGCCAAATAACTCCCAGAAAAAGTCACAGACGTATGCGCACACACATACACGTACGTATTTGCAGAGATCTGGACAATAAAGATCACAGCATGCCATGCTAATGGATCCCAGCACTGTAATAGCTCCATTACAAATGGCAACGTCTCTGTGCATTACTGCTAAAGACTCTACCTTTTAGCGTTGAAACTTTTAATTGATTTTAAAATACACAATCAATCACAGTTAATCAAGGAATCATGAAGAAGCTATTGTACACAAATACACAAAGACAGCATATAAACCACAATTAATGACCACTTAAACAACAGTAGGAATGAAAATAGGATTATTTATTAGTGTTCATGAACAGTAATGGATGAAGTAATGAAGCAGTAACATGGGGGTGTGCTGGAAGCCAAAGTTTGCAATATTTTACACCAAGTGGTCATAAGCAACTTTTCCATGGGCAGGTCAATGACACAATGGCTCTCTCCCCATAACCAATGCAGCTGGACAACTTTGGCCTTAATTTTCAGGAGAGTGATTAAAATGCAGCCACCTTACCCCATCCCCGAGCTGAGGACAGCAAGCTGGGGCAGTGCAAAGGAGGTGACTTGCTTGGAGGCTCTCAGATCTCCCCTTGGCCACAGCTCCAGGTGGTCTGACCAGGATTTAGCACAAAAGGCTATTTGGCCTAAGCTGGCTTTATTCACACCCACGTGGCAAGCCCAGAGCCGTGCCCTCCCGAGGCACAGTCACCACCCAACCTGCTCCTGCAGGCACACCCGCTTTGTGCCCAGCTGCACACATGGCCACCATTTTGCAAACACCCCAAATTGCTTCACCAGCCATGCAAATGCATTCTTGCATCAGCATCAGAAACCCCAGACACTTCAGCACACATCCACAAAGCCACCCATGAGGATGCAAACATACACTGCCCCCAGGGACAGGCACAGGCAAGGGAGCCCAGCCGGCAAGAGGTGGCAGGTCCTGCTGTCCCCTACAAAAGGATGCTCATCTTGCTGCCATTCACTCAAAATTTGCAGCTTTGCACCAGATTAATTTAATTCCTCTAAATTAAAAAGCAGGACCCCACTCCCAGCTGCCTAGTGCAAAGGAGATGCCACGATGGAGTGATCTCTGGGAAGGAGAAAGGGGTAGTGCAGAGGAAACCTCACCCCATCGCACTGTTCCTTAGAAGACAAGTGCCATCTAACCCCAAAACTTGTCCTGGGAAGAAGTACGGGAACACACTGGGAGTGCAGGCATTTCTGTAGCGAGACAGAGGTGGCAAGCTTGACCAGCTTTCAGCACAAGATATTAGCTCCTAGTATTCATATCCCAACCCACAGCCTTATTGCACTGCTGAAGCTTAGCGTTGAAGGCCTCTGAAGGTGCTGATGGCAGATCAGACCCATAAACACATCTTTCTTGGCATTTCATGGCAGGGCTGAGGGTGCTGCAGCCCCTTGCTCCAAGCCCAGCCCGCCAGCAGCTCCCCTCCCCGCTCACACAGATCAGCACCTTCCTCTCCTTCATCGTCTCTTTTATTGGCTTGCAAGTTAGCCCCGGGATGTTTTATCACACCACAGCACATAATACAAATGAAAAACAAAGGGGAAAAGTTTGAATCATTTTTTTTTTTTTTTTTTAATATATTCATCCCTGTGCAGGGAACAATGATCCATCTGATTAAATCTGCATGCTGGAGTTTATTAAACCGGGTTGGCCTCTCGCTTTCTCTCTCCTTTAGGCATGGACAAGCTCATTAAAATGAACACGCTCCGCTCCCTCCCCATGGCAATCCCGCTTCTCCCTGCCTGTGCTGCTGCTATCTTGTAGGCATCACCAGGAGCTGATGAACAGGGCTCTGCAGCTCAGCAGCCGAGCCTTGGTGTGACTTTTTGGCAAAGGGCAGGAGATGCCTTCAGATTACACCAGGGCCTCTTGGCTACTGTGAGCATGCAAACAAGGTGTAGGACAAGAGCTATTAAAAAACAGAGGCAAGGGAGCTAGGTGGTGGGGGGGCAGGGACTGAGCACCCCACTCCAGCCCTGGAGTGCCATTTACCCCTTCAGGGGCTTTTTCTCATCTGTAAAGTGGGTCTGATGGGCACTGCTCCTCCCGTCAGAATAATTAATGGGTGTAAAGTGCTTTGAATAAAGCACTAAGAATAAACTTATCAATAATGCCAAGGTGATGGGTGGGCGTAAAAGACTCTCCTCAGTGTTGGAGGCACCTGGGACCAGGTCCCTACAGGGGCTTCTGAGCCCGCTGGCAGCCACCTGCCCTGCAGCCCAGCTCTCCTTGGGACACCCCAGGAGGTCCCCTGCCCCCCAGCCACCCTCCCTCCTGGCATTTCCAGCAGGCCAACATTTGCTGCACCTCCTCCTTCTCCTCGGCAGCCCTGTAGATGCAACCTAAGTCTGTTACACCCCGGCAATAACAGTGGCTTAGGGCATATAATCCCTCCTTTACTTGACTTTGGGTTATTTTGAGCAGGAGATTAAAGGAGATTATCTGCATCACCTGAGATGCTGCACTTTCCATCTCTACCCCCTTCCCTCCATCCCTGGGGCTCACCCAGGCAGCAGAAATCCTCCTTCCTTCCCCCATCTTCCCATCTCAGGGCACCTGTATGGCCACAGAGCACTGCCACATTGTGATCCCTTATCACCAGCCTCTTTTTGTGGTCCTCACCCAGCCACCCCACAGCATCCTGCATGCCCAGGTCCTGGGCTGGGCCTGGGGATGCTCCTTCAACACAGGAAAGGGAAGGCAGGACACCCCAGCACACTGTGGCACTAACTGGGATCAGCTCCTCAAGGCTTCTCCTTGTGAAGGAGGTGGTATGAGGATAAAATGCCCCTTTGGGCACTAGGAGATTGCAGAACAGACCACTGGGTTCAACAGCAGCCACTCATCTCCACATTCAGAGAACAGAGACGGACTCCCTGCTTGCCATATCTCACACCATGAAAACCTCTGAAGTTGGTGTTTCTTGCCCAAGAAGGAATCCCCATCCCTGAGCAGCACCAGTCTCAGGCATCACCTACCTGGCCAAGGCAGCAAACTCCTTCCCATGTTTTGGGGACCGCATGCTGCTCTCCAGCTCACTTCAGCTTGGATTTAGCAAAGCACTCAAGTGCTGGTTTGAATTCCTCCCAAAGCCTTGCTGAAATCAGCAGCTTTGATGAATCAAGGCCTAAACCAGCAGAGCTGTTAGCAGTGACCAAGACAGTCAATTATCTCTCCTATCCGAGGGAAAGGGAGGGATGCTTTAGCATCCTGGGGGTGGGGAGCAGCTACCAAGCAGCAATAGTTCTCCTGGAAAGCAAACACCCACACGTGGCATCCCACCGAGACACGTGTGACCCATGCTCAAGCTCATGGCACGCTCACACCTTCATGGGCTGTTTTTCCTCATTTCAGACTACACCAGGCTAGAATCCATCTGCCACCCTGGAAATTAATAGCAATCATTAAACAAAAAGAGCTGGCAAAAAGAAGCCCGAGGTGAAAAGCAGCTATTTCTGCCAGAAAAAAAATTAAAACTATTTAGACATACAGAAAGTCATTTATTACTGTGAAGTCCTCCCTCCACCTGGGGTTTAAATCTCATTACAGTTTGTCCAAAACAGATGTTACCCTTTTAGCAGTAGATTATTAACGATAAACTCAATTCCTCCAGAGATGGTGGGTGTTCTGGGTTCACTTGTTTTTTCAACTTGGGTAACCTCTGCATGAAATGTTTATGAAAAGGACAGGCAATCCGAGTCCTGGCACCGTTCCCTGCTTCTATTGTTTGGGCCCTCTGAAGTTTTCCATTCCACTCTCCACATCTTTTGTGGGCCTGTGAAAGAGAAGGGAAAACACAGGGGCCCAGATGGTGACCGCAGACGCTTTTGAGGATCAGGTATGACGTTGAGGAAGGGCTTTCATGTACCACAAAACCATGCCAATGCACAGACACCTCCTGCTGCTGCCCTTCCCCAGCAACCTGGCATTAACCGTGATCAAACAAAAGCAGGACCTCTTGGATGGACCCTGGCGTGTACACGACCCATTTTTCCAAATTTCTCTGCCACTTGGTTGGGTTTTACGCCTGCTGGCACCATGCAGGAGCCCCAGTGGTCCTCATCTGTGGCTGAGCATCCCCCATGGACAGAGGTGGGCTCTGCTTATTACCACGAGGGAGGGGGCACACTTCAGTGGGAGAGCAGCTGACACCCAGTTTAACCAGCTAAGCCCATGGTATAGCTGTATCCTTGTTCTGTTTAGATCTAACATAGCAAAGACACAAGCTCAGGAACCTAGAAGCCCCATTAACCATGCTGTAAACACGATCAGATGAAACATTAATATCAGCTCCACACGAATACGGCCATCTGGCTGCCCAGCCATCTTCCTGACCACTTTGGGTAGGAGGAATTGCATTCCTAGCACTCTCCAGAGACCCTGTTAAATAGATATTCTCATGATGCCTCTCACAGCACGCCTGGGAAGCTGGCAGGTGCCAGCTATTTTTCCACTATTGACGGTGAAGTCAGTGCCAGCATCCCAGGGCTCCCTCAGAAAACACTTTTTGTGCCCCATACTTTTTTTTTTGTGACCCATATCCACCTCCCTGAAGGTGCAGGGTATCCCTGGGATGAGCCCATTGCTTGTCTGCTCGAGTTGTGCCAAAGGCATGGCTGCATAGCTGCAGGGGCTGTGCTGGAGGAAGGAGAAGACTCTTATAGATGAACTTAACTGCTTTCAGCTGCCTCGGACTGAGCCATAACGTGGATGACAACACCATGCCTCTAAGCCGTTTGTGTCCCCTGGAAGCACCGATTCCAGCCTGTAATCCCACCCACAGCATGTGCACATCCAAGTGCAACATCTGGTAGCAGTGCCCTGGAGGCACAGGCTGTTCTAGAGCTATTGTATTTGCTCCAGAACAGGATGTATTCGTGGTCTGCTAGGGATTCCTGGCCAGAGGGAGCATTGTGTGAAATTTTTAGCAGGGCATTGAGTGTGTATTTCCACCACTGGAGTATCATAGACCTGCAGCCAGTTACAATATTGTCTAAAAACAAAACACCTGTTCAGGTTAAGAGGTGAGGAGACAGGCAGGGCTGGAAATCTCACATAGGACCTATTTTGACCTAGGGAAGGAGAAGAGGGCCCCTGCTCCCAGAGCCCCCGGAGCCAACAAACCCAAACTCCTCCATGTGCAGCAGCAGGGCCACGCTGGGTAAGATGTGCGTGGAAAGTGATCACACTTGGTTTTCTCTGCAATGCTGTTACCCTGAATAAACATTACATTGGATTTGGAGAGCTGCCCAGATGATCATTAACCTTCTCCTGGCCCGTGACAGGAAGCCAGCCTGCAGCACTGAGCTAAAATTAGGCCTGTAGGGCACTGGGTCTTGCCAGATATTGCTATATCTGGGCACAACCCCCCTCCAAAAACAGCCAGAGGAGCCCTAGGCTGGGCTCCTTGGCTGCAGAGAAGTGGATCATTAAATCACAGAATAATTTTGGGTGGAAGAGACATCTGGAAAGCTTCTCCAGCACCATCAGGAGAAGCAAAACCAACTCGAAAGGTGAACAAGAGGTTAGCAGATGTGTTTGCTTACAGCAAGCCATGGCAATCCCTGGGTGCAGAAGAACGCTTGCAGATGGAAAGGTGAGGTCCCTCTTACCTACCAGGGGATCAGGGCAGGCCACTGCCATGAAGTCCTGCATGTGCTGCATGTTTTCATGTCCATCTGCCAATATGCAGTAGTACAATCCACCCAGAAACTGCCACTGAGCTCAGCACTGCCCAAACACCCACAGCTTCTGGCTCAAGGCTCCCTCACGGGGAAAGGGAAGGACAGAGAGGGAAAAGTGCTTCTGAAAGCAAGACCCTACAACCAAAAATATCAGCGCAAACAAAACACTGTGCTATAGCATAAAAGGGCAAGCTGTAGTACTTGCACCTCTAAAAGAGATTTCTTACAAGCTAATCATTTCATGGATTCACCACCAGACTTAATTCCATACAGAAGAGGCTATTCCTGCCTGGGATGCAAAGGGTTATGCAGGCTTCCTGGAACAATACATTAACAAAAGAAAGCAGTAAAAGCCCCTTTCAAATAGCACTGAGGATCTGAGCAGGGATGACAATGCAGAGACAAGGCTCAGCTCAGTTTGTCAGCGCTGAGGAACACCAGCAGCTTTGCTTCCAGCACGGGGCGGTTCCCTCCATTGTATCAGTGCTGGAAAAAACACTTTGATCTCCAGCAGTATTTACTGGGGGGGGGAAAGGGAGTCCTGCTTCTGCACCAGACCTCTGCTTTCCCCCAGCCTAACGTGGCCATGACTATCCCATAATGAAGCTGTGATTCAGGCTGATTATCTCTAAGGAAGAGCACCACGAAGTAAATACTAGAGAGGCTCTCATGGAAACACACTTTTCTTATTACTACTGTTCTACCTGATTAGAGCTCTCAGTTCTCCACATCCCCGAAAATCTTTGTCCTCTTCACCTCCCTCTAACTCTTCCCCTCTAATTGCACTCCTCAGCTCTTTGAGGGCTCAGCTGCACCGTCACAGGCTGGAGCTGACATTTTGTCCGCTCGTGCTGATATTTCAGAAAGCTGGTTTAATGCACAGGTAACCAGCTGGGCTTAAGAGGTTGTTCACCAGGAAGATCATTTATGCATTTACTTAAACTCAGCAGAGAATTTTGCTCAGTGGCCCACAGCAGCACGAGATAGGGTTGTCATCTCAATAGACCCTGGATGCTAAGCAGCCTGAGACAGATGTAAATGACTTCAGACTGCAGCTGAAGGAAAAGCAGAATGTCTGTATTTTCTGAAGTCCCTTTTCTGAAGTCCCCAGAGCTGACCTGGCTCGCAAACATTATTTTAATCCACAATGTATTTCACCATAGAACAAAAAAGGGTGCCTAAAAATGTTTACGTGAACAGGCTCCTTTTGACCGTTCCCAAATTGCAGTGCTGGCCTCAGCATGGCCAGTGGAGAAGGTGAAGGAATGATAGCTCTGAACTGTGGCTCTCATCAGACTCCGCATCACCCACAGCTTACAGCTAAATTGGCCTGAAATCAAGTATTGCGATGGAAGCTTTCAAGAAAGACCACTGTTTTTCAGCCAAGGGTTTAATTTTGCAGAAATCACATTTTCCACCAGAAATCCATTTTGCTGAGGAATTCCACACACAACCAGCTGCAGAACAAGCTGTCCCCTGTGGCACCCCATGTCAGGCAGCAGCAGGGGCTGGCTTCCCAAAGGAAAGGCACAGCAGGAACTGGGGTGAGCCCAGCAGAGGGGATTCCTTTCCCAGCCACGGTTACATGGACACAGCAGGCAGGGAAGGTGACGGTAACAAGGTCCATTGATATCCATGAGAAAGACAAGAGATGAACCAAGTAGGGCCCATCCAAGGAGTGCAGCCAGGAGCAGAAGGAGATGGGGTGAGATACAGCACCAGGCACCAGTTATAATCCAGTCAGGAGCCACCTACCACAAAGGCTTGAGGTCTATCCCAGAGGCAGGACCAGGAGCAGGACTGGAGACAGGCAGAAAGCAGCCAAGTGGCCAGGGCTAAGCTTAAATGGAGCTCCTGAGGCCATGGGAAGAGGGTGGAGGTGGAGGCCCCAGGTGAGGCTGGTCAGGACCATTAAGGCCTTATCAGTGCCTTCAGGGCCTTAGCACCCTATAACATCCATAAGTGTCAATACAACTGTCAGTAATGCCCCTGTATAGATACCGCACGTATGATTTCTGTTTGTTTCTCCCTACCTATGCTCAGAAAGTACTCTCTTCATCATCCTTCCCACCTGGCTACTCGCCATCTACTCGCAAGGTCTCAGTAGGAGCTGTCCTGCACACCGTGCTGGGCACCTGTCTCTCAGCCCACTTTTACCTCTTTGCTTCATTCCTTCTTCATCTCTCTTCAAAACTCAGTGGAAAACCTCTCTCTTCTCCTTTGCTGATTATTTCTTAAATAATAAATACCAGCAGGAGAGTAGAATTGACTGGAGAGCTCTATTATCTAACCCTGCGAGTTATTTGAGAATAAGGCTGGGATGCACAAAGTGCTGCCTAAACCCTATCTGTGGAGACAATATTAGCACTGGGATCTCTGGATGGGAAACGAACTTGGGTTTTACAGGGCTGGGCATTTTTATTATTCAGCATGGTAGTGATGCTAACCAACACAGCCCAGATGGAGGCGTGTAGCAAACACCAGGAATACAAATGAGCAGAAAAACCTGCCTGGAAGCCTCAATTCCACACCTGACGTCTACAGAATGGACGTCAAGCCATTTAGGAGAGCGTTCATCACTAATACATGTAAATGTTTTCTGTGCCATCCTAAAGCTGTAGCCTCAGATTATTTTACACATAATGAAGAGCCAAGGTTCATTTTAACATTTGGTGCCTGTTAGCCAAATTTTCCGTCCCCACCTCTTTGGGCGATTAAACATTTATCGTCTGTAATGTATCGTTCCCATTTTGCTACGTCCCTCTTTGTAGTGGAGCTCCTTTGTTTATTGATAAAATGACCTGAGTGGATGTAAAAGAGGATCTAAGAGAAGCTGAAACGTGGCCAGATGGAGATGGAGCAGCTAGGGAGGATGAAGGTCTGGGGATGCAGGGATGCCGAGAGGGGAGCATCGTTGTGTGTGCGTATGTGCACACACACGAATGCGCCCATGTTAATCTGGCTCCTTGCCTTCGCTCAGCAAATCTAATCCACAGTTTGAAAGAACTCATTCAGTAGAATAACAAAATTAGGAACTGAGCGCCAAGATGGCATATTCTGTGTGCTGCCCGGCTCGCTCCCCCTCAACCCACCCAGCCCCCACGGCTGCTTTGTTTGCTTCCTTGCAGCTGCTGCTCTGGTTTAATTTACTGGGATGCCATTAGCTGGGAGCTGGAGGCAAAAACTTCCAGCCAGCCTGCACTGGTGTGAGCAGCCACAGTTTTGCCTTTTCCTTACCACCTCTGCTGCCGGAGGACAAGGCTGGTGTTGTTCATCCAGTGCAGGCTGCAGCCTCATGGAGATCACAAAATCGATTTGCTGCTGGGTTGTTGGCAAGAAGCAGGGCTGGAGAAGCAGGGACAGGTAGGAGGGGAGAGCATCAGTATCAGTGCTGAGGATCAGCAGGGCAAGGCATGGATCTGGGCTCCCGCGGGGACACTGAAGATCAGAGGCAGTGCGTAGCAGCAGCAAGCAGCAAGGAAGTTGTCACTGCCCATTTACTGGTCCCTGTGAGCCATGTAAGCCTGACATCTTCTCAGCTGGCCAGGGCCACCTTGCTGCCTTGTGAAAACAAAAGGAAAGGGAAGCACAGTGGTATCCACAGTGCACAGGTGACTCTCACAAGGAATATTTCCTGCCCCACGGCCTCCCCATGGCCACGGCCTGTTGTCATCGTCAGCCAGGGTTCAACATATCCCCACTTTAGTTTAATCATTTCAAAGCATTGCTGTTGTTTTCATTCCTCGCCTTTGCTTCTTTCACAATCAATGAAAAAGAATCCCGTATCTCCACTTTCCTGGTAGTTTTTCACTTTAGAGTTGTAGGTGGTTTGTCCCCAGGTTTTCCCTGGCAGCTCTGTGAAGGGTCAGAGGACTGGGAACAGTGGTGTGCAATTGGGTTACTGGGAGCACAAAGCCAGAACAGCTGGGCAAAGATGAATTGGTCAGGCAGGAGGGTTAAAACCCTAGGTTTTCCTCATGATTTTTCTGCAGTCTGTGGGAAGAAGAAGGTGGGGGGCCTCTCCCTCACTCTCCAGAGCCATGTCCCAGCCACCGGAGGTCAGGAACAGCACAAGCTGCTCATCCAACCAGCTGCTCTGTGTCTAACCTGCAAGAATCCCGACCAGGATTTCAGAAGCAGAAAAGGAAGATTAGATGGGAGATAAAATCAAAGGAGAAACCTCCCGGATCTCTGTTATCTGCTGTTAGGGGGATATGTGCTGGAACCATTGTGAGTGCCCCCGCTCCCATCCCGCCTCGGTGCCTGGCTGGTGCCGCACACCCACAGGCACCCGCGTCGGCGTGATGCTGGAAGGAGGCTTTCAGAAGCCAACGAGATAACAGTTATCTCCTCCATGCAAAGCAACAAGACCACTTCTCCACTCCCCAGTCATGTCCCGGCAATCTAATAAAAGGGGAGATTAGCCCCTCTTACATCTCCTTAATGCTGTCGTTTTATTCACACTTTGCAAAGCAAATAAACCAGCAAATTGCTTGCTTTAATGAGCTGAAATTAAACTCGGGCTGCTGATAAAATGCCTTTTCTCTTTTCTGTTGTTGGAAAGGACTCGTCTGATAGGCAAAGAAGAGAAAACACACAGCGGGAACCTACTGAATATGTCTGAGTCGCTTACGGTCACTCTTCTTCACCCCAGACACCCCCAATTAGATGAGGGAGGCACATGGGTGATGAGGAGGATACGGGGGCCAGCCTGGCAAGGTCCTTGGAGGGTCTTGTCTCTGCTCGTTGCTCACAGGATGGTCCTGCTCCATTAGCTAATGCCCTCTGATGTGGGCTGCAGGCTGTGGCTTCCCCAGGGACATGGCAACAGGAAGCTTTCCCCTGCAAGAAGAAGGCTGGTGTGGCTTTGCAGGAGATTCTTGCAGCAAAGAGAAGGGTTGTGGGCAAGGACTGTGATCTGCACAGCTGGGGCAACCCATTGGTGATGGCTCCGCAGGCCAGGACTACTCATCTCTACCCTTCTCCAACATCCTTACAGGCAGTGTGCACCCCACAGGAGGCCATCAGAGGGGCTGGGGACCAGGCTGATCCCTGTGGCAGAGGAGAACGGGCACATCCAGAGCCCAGCTCCCAGCTGGAGGGAGCGAAAGTCTCCACCTGCAGCTCAACACATCTGACTTGACTTTCATCTCAACGAGAGGAGCTCGGGGCAGTGTCATTCAGTCTCCCACAGCCCCGTGATGCACTGTCATTATCTCACGGAACTGGAGAGGAGACTGGAGAGCAGGGAGGTTAATTGAGTTGCCCAGTGCCGGGAGGGATGTGACGGCAGACAGCTCTCAGCCCAGCACTGCAGCCCATGCCTCCCCATTAATGGGGGAGTGTGTGTGGGGACACAGTCCCTGTCCCTTCCTCACCAGATCCAAGGACTCAGATGTGCCAAAATGAGCTACCAGGTCCTGACAAAGCACCCCAGAGAGGGACAGCATGTCCTTGTAAATGTGCTCCAGCTGGTGCCACAGGTACTGGTCCCAGAAATGGGGCTTATCCTCAATACCAGTATTTCTGCAGTGACGTGAGGGCTTCAACTCGAATAGCAGTGTAAAAGCACACCAAAGTCCAGGTTTCTACCCCCTGGTGGGAGAGCTGCTGGAGGACAAGGTGGCTGGAGAGCCTCGTACGCCACAGAGCTGATGCGAAAGCAGATCTTGTTATGTACGTAATGGAAACCCAGCCATCCCACCAGGGAACAGACTCACTGTTCGCGATCCAGAAAGAACAAATAAACTGTTTCACTGTTTGTTATTACCAGCCTGTTTACTGGAGTATAAGCTGTGAATGGTTAACAGAGCTCTCTGCAGCGAAACATGGTCTGCTTCACCACCTGGTATCATGGCTGGAAAACGGGGATCTGGGTCCTCCAGGATGAGGGTGATGGCATGGTGTCTGAACGCCCCTCATGGTTTGCAGGAGGGCAGCACCAGCACATCCATCCGCTGCCTGGGCACTGGGAAATGGACTGGAAGACAATTTCTGGATTTACACTACTCTGCAGATCTAATGAAACACAGCTCAGGTGTATGACTTGTTCCTCCTCTTTCATGGATGCTCAAGAAGCCTCAGTTTCCTACCAGCTGTCTTTTCAAGAAGTGCTGGTGGTATCTTTCCTGCTTCCTACAGTCTGTCTGGGGACAAGGGAGACAACCAGAGCTGCTGTTACTGTAGAAAGTCTCAAGAAGGAATTTCTAGATAAGCCATGATGTTTCTCCCAGCTGTGGGCAACTCCCTCTCTGGTAGGGGGTTTGTTTCCCCAACCACAGACAAGGAAAACAGATGGTGGACAATGGAGCTACTGTGCCTTGTAGCCAAGCAGTGCCCTGAAACTACTGCTCAGGTTCCCAGAAGCAGGCCAGGTGCTTGGGGCTGGGCTTTATCCTAGCCCCCACACAGCAATGCAGTCAGGAAGACACGGCGTCCTCAGCCAGCACCCCCCTCCGTGGGCACTGCTGCTGCACGCACCAGCACGCGAGACAGTCAGGATTCCCCTCAGCAAAACATTGCAGCATCAAATCTACATCAGAGTGAGTTGTCTAGACTTCATCTGCTCTCCGCAGAGAGGAACAGACACTTCTGGGGCAGCACTCCTCTCCTCTGAAGGTAGACACCTAAATAGGTCAGACGAATGGTGCACTGGATGTGCGTTGTTCTCCCTCCTGCCTATAACGTGACGCTGGTCGATGCACTTAGAGGCTGACGTCTGCAGGCAGTGACCACCTGCCCTAGTGATGCCAAACAGCACTGGCTGTGCCCGAATTAACCACAGGCCCTGGAGAGGTGGCAGCTGGATTTAGAAGGCAAGCGGCTAGCAGTAAGAGGGTAGTTGGGTGCGTCTCTGATGCTGCTGAACTTAAATGGTCTGCCCTTTGTGTTGAGCTTGTGCTTTTGTTTTGTTTTGCGCAGGTGAGCTGAGGAACCAA